AACAACAGTTGCTCCATTTTGTAATAGGGTCCCAACTTGTCTGCTTCTGTTACGGATCACCAGGTAGACATTGAGTTCCAGGGATGTGCTTGTTGCTGTCCCAGGAAGGACTGTTGTGTGCGTAGTGTTCCGTCATGCTTGCCCAACTCCATATCTGAATATGTTATCTTAAGAACAATCTGTAAAAGGTCTGTTTTATCCCTCTCCTCTGCTTTTGTATTTCTGCTTGCCAACTTCCCTCTAACATCTCCTATAAAAGGACCTCAGGCTCTGAGCCTTTCGCCTCTCTAAGCTTGGAGCTTGCAGAGTGCTGTCTGGCCAGACTAATAAAGGTCTGTTTTACAACTTGTCCGGTGGGTGTGCTCCCTCCCAGGTGATTGTCGGTGTAGTCAGCTCCTCGGAGCATTTGGTAAGGCCCACGGTCTTACATTTAGAAGAGGCTGAGTGATATTGGCAATGAGGGGCAATTAGGTAGGTTGGAGACCTAACTCAAGATTCATGTTGAGGTGGAGGGAAAAGACAGGGTGGAAACCAAATGGGAAAGAAGAGCTGCAGGGACTTGACTGGGAGCACTTGGCCGCATCAATAGATTTTGGTGAGAAACTCAAAGGAAAGGAAGAATGAGAAAGATTGTGGCCCCTAGTGATAGTAGCAAGAGTAAGCTCCTTCAGAATCTCTATCTTTGCAAAGGAGCTATTAATGCATTAAGAGTCATACAGTAAGCATTTCAGAAATGAAGTATAGGTTGAATAAATATACTTTATCCAGAATGTTTGGGACTAGAAATGTTTTAGATTTCATATCATGGAATATTTTCATATCTTACAGAAAAACTCCAAGCATAAACACAAAATTCATTTATAGCTCATGTACACCATGTACACCATGTACACATAGCCCGAAGGTAATTTTAAACAGTAATTTCAGCATACCTGTGTTTTGACTACAACTTATTATATGAGATTGGGGTGGAAATTTCTACCTGTGGCATCATGCTTCCACATTTCAGATTTTGAATTTTTGGTAGGGATTCTCAGTCAGTAGTATAAATTGATACATAATATACTGAAACTTTATTTAACACAATCAGTTAAACATAACAAGTGTATCATACTGGTATAAGAAAACAATAAGGGGAATTGTATGTGCCTGGAGGTTGGGAGAAGGAGTATTATGAGATTTTTTGTAGTTTCTGCACAATTTTTCTGTGAGTCTAAAATATAAATTCTTATAATATTTAAAAAATTTTATTTTGTATAAGATCTGGGAGTATAGATCAGTGATAAAAAACATGCTCAGCATGCTCAATGTCCTGGGTTCAGTCACTAGCACTGTCAAAAATATTTTGTACAAATTAAAAATTACCCAAGAATAATAGTTGACTTGTGACATTTTAAAGCAATTTATTAGACTTGTGACATTTTAAAGCAATTTATTAGGCTAGGGATGTAGCTCAGTGGTAGAACACTTGTCTAACATATGTTAATCCCTAGGTTTGATCCCCAGTAAGCAAAAAGAAAAAAAAATAACAATTTTTATACATGCTATTATAATACTATACAATTTATTTCAATAAAAAAATCTTCATTTGTTTTTTTATTTTGAGGTTGTAAATTTTGTATGTTTACTTGTTATTAAGATTTTAATTTTTTTTGTTTGGAAGAGGAACAATAGGAGAAAATCAGCCTTGTTTGCTTGTGAGAAAACACATTCATCCATATGTTTAGAAGCTAGCACTAGCTATTTCATCCTTGGTTTATGAGAAGAGAGATTTCAATTTAATCCTACTAAGTACACTAGTTCTGGTAAAAGGATAAGCTTTGTAAGATGTGTACATATCCCCTATATTGAATGATCACTTTACATGCAAATTCACAAAGAGCTACAAAATAAAAATAGCATTTTATCTAACTTGCAGTCAGTGTAGTTGCTGAGCAATAAACCAAAGCTTATGTAAAGGTTATATGTAAAGGACAGCTTTATCTCTGGTTAGGGTGAGGGTAGAAATCTGTGCTTCCCTCCACCCAAACCATGTTGCATCTACTGTCATTCTTTCATGACAATCAGCAAAAGGCAACAACCAACACTGAAGCCAAACAAAAAACATAAAATATGTATAACATTCCACTAGAAAGAAAATTGTTCTAAAGTCCAGGGATTCTAATGGAGCGATGTTTTCTGTTCTCTATTATTGGTTTTAATTTTTTGATTGACAAATAATAATTGTGTGTCTTACGGGGTGGCGTTGTACTTCTAACGAGTGAGGATGAGACAGTCCACTGTGGCTCATCTAATGCACAAGAGCAATGAGTGTTTAAAAACCACAGTTTCCACCCAGTAATGGAACCACAGTAGAAGAAAAATGTGAGCTCACATTCTCTTGCAGTATTAATATGTGAGACGCCTTCATTTGCTCTGTCTGAAATTGGCTTTACCATCTTCAGATTGGAAAAGCATCTTCCAGGAGATAGTGAGCTCCCCTTCTCACCTTTCCTTTGCTTTTCACTCAGGAGCTGCTGAGTGTGTCTTTGGAGGAGCCATCATGAGGCCTGTGATTTATAAGGTGTTTACATTTTGCTCTGAAGTTTGCTGTGAGCCAGGCTTTACTTCCTTCAGTCCCTTTAGTTCCTTTCTCAGGCATAGAAAAAAAAAGTAAAAGAAAAGAAAAATACAAAATTACATACATTCATTTAAGAAATTCCTTTTGTAAAACAAGGGCATAACTTCAGTGGGTTTCTGTCAGAGAAGTGGAATCACAGACATACAAATGAAATATTTGTGTTTGTTCACAAATCACACAATTTTTAATACAAATACATGCAATAAATATGCTTAGGTCATTGGCATGTGGTCTCTGGCTAAAAAGCATTAGCCTCCCTGCTCTGAGCACAGGTGATACCTTCAGCATCATTCTCCAACTGGAATAAACATTCCACATGGTTCTATACAGCGCACTCTGAATGGGAATTTCCTCTGGAGTTTCTTAAACTAGCTAAGCCCAAGGCTTGCCAGACCGTCCCTTTACATTCTAAAACTTCAATTGATATTGTATATGTGTGGGGTGGCCTTTTGTCAAGATCTCAAGGCAAGCTGAGTTCAGAATCTCACACACCTTTTTCACATTAGGAAAATTAACTTGGCTGAGGCAAAGGAGGCATCTCACAAATCCACAAAGACAGAAATAGCATTTTAAATCCATCACAGTCCATGAATCAGCAGTTGTCCGTGGTTAGCTGTCAGCTCCAAATAGCAGAATACTACTAATTTTGTGGAATCTGGAGATAGAATTTCAAAGTTGTTTTTCAATTACAGAGTGTCCAGAGCTCTCAGGACAGTCACCTTTACTGTCACATAATTATGATATTTGTGGTTTGGGTTAAAATAGGGCCAGCAAGCAATAGCCTTTCAGTGCCCTGACATGGAGAAAGTTGTATTTATGTGATTCTCTGGAATGGTTGAAGACTGATGCACTCAGTAAACCCCAGCAGATGGTAGACTGCAGTGTAAATATTAAAATATGTATTGACATTGATCAACACTTGTTAATCAATTAGATAAATGGTTTAAAAATAATCCCAAAGTTTCCCAACCTATACAACAAGTAGTGGTTTTGTGTTTCCTGGTGGAGGTGATGAGAAGAAATGAACACCCAATCGCAACAGAAAGACTATGCCCATATCCTGAGTACGCCATAGCTAGGGCTGTAGTACAGATCTCAGGGTATTGTGATTGTCTTTCACCCTTAGATTCTGTCACAAAAGGAGGCATTACTCTAAAAAGAGTTACTGATGTATCTGTTGTGACAATATCATTAATGACTATAGGAATTTAATAAGTTTATCTCACTTGAGCCCTAGAGTACCATCTCTATTTTGCAGCTGAAGAGACAGACTCAAAGAGGTTACATTGCTCAAAGCAATAGAGATCATACTCTCAAACTTGAGCATGTATCAGGATCCCTTGGAGGGTTTATAACAATTCAGAATGCTGGACCTCAGATCTGGGGCAGGCCAGAGAATGTGCATGCTTAACAAGCTCCCAGGTGAGGTACCTCCTAGTCCAGGATCACATTTTGTGAAACCCAGGCCTAGATAATTAGTGGAAAAAAATCATCCTCTGTCCTATCTCCCCAAGCCCAAAGGGCCTTGAGGCTCTTGTGTCTTCCATTCTTCTTTGAAAAGAATCACTTCCTAGTGCCTAAGATAGTGCTTAGCACATAGGAAGTACTAAAAACAAAACACAAATAAGTAAATTGGATTAAAGAAACTGAGAACTGGCCTTAATTTTACCATCTAGTAGCTGTGTAAAACTGGGCCAATGCTTTGGCATTTTAAAATCTCAACCTTCTCATTTGTAAAATATGGACAATAATCTTGGAAGAGTTATATGGAGGATTTTAAAAACTAGTTTATATATATTATATAAATGATGCTTTAAAAATATTTTTTTCACCTCCCAGAGACATGGAACACCCACAGCTGACACCCAGTAATTGTTGGTTGGATTGAATTGAAGTTGGCTCACTTGGATAGAGTGATGTTTACTCTCTCTGAGGAACTTAACTTTAACAATTATTTATTTGGAGAAATGAAACACCACTGCTGTTAATGTTAGGAGTTGGACATGCTCTCACTGTGTCCTAATACTTTCTCTCTCTTAAATACTAAATCAATGAAAGTCAACTTTCAAATGCACTAGAAGCCCCTGCCACATGCCCCCAAGGAATGATCCAATAGGGCTACATTTTTAAACTAAATTTCTTCTTATAAAGCCCTGTAGTGGGTTGAATTGTGACAGAGATTCTGTCTTTGGTTCTGAGAACTTCTAGCTAAAAAAAATGAGCAACCAGTCCCTTTATAAATCCATCTTTTGAAAGATCCATATAAATACAGGAGAAATAGTGAGAAAACAGAGAGATTAGGTAAAGCTCAGTAGATCTCTCTATTTAATAAGCAATGAACAATTTATTATTTTTAGCTTACAAACACCCACTCCTAATAGTTAACATATGTCAAATTACTTATATGTCAATGGTGCAAAATTTTTAGCAATTCATTTCAGTTTCCACATATTTATAAACTGCAGCGTTGCCCATATCAGAGTTCACTTACTAGAAAAGACACAGTTGAAAGGAAGAGCAGCACATGATTCTCCCTTGCAGAGTTGAAGCGATTGGTGATCTAAATGTCTTCTATTAAACAATCTTAAACGCTGGAAATTTCATTCCTGTAAATATTTTTCTTAAGAAGATCATAATGTATAAACAGACCAGGAAAGAATTTTTGAGCTTTGCCTTTTCAGATATTTTCATTTGTAAAATCGCAAAGCTATACTTGAGAAGCAGCAGATAGACTCTGGGGAGCATAAACCTTCAATTCTGCCAAAGAAATAAGGAGGTTTGCATTTCTCACTCAAAGCATCTGGACATGCTGATGAATGAGTCCACTTCCTGAACTTTTCTTCCCTCAGAAGCCAATCTTCACAGGTCAAAAAACTTATTTGGCTCAGGCCAACGGGATCTAGGCATTTGTCCAACACTTTGGCTCTGCAGAAAGAAAAATATGTGACATGTGTCTTATACTTTCTAGTTTTGTCCAGTTTACAAAATTAGCTTCAAGGTGACTGAGCAAGGAAGGATGCACTGCAAGCTGTGTTGATGGTCACATTTCTTTAAATCAGAGCACCAAGCTCTTCTAGACTACAAATCATTCTTAATCCAAGAAAGAATGGAGAAAATCTGTGTGGAAAAAGTCTACTTTGCAAAAGCAGTGTATAAAAATCTACTCCAGTCTGTAAAGAGAACAAGGAACTGCCATTTCTGAGTTACCTATGGCTGAATAGCTTTGCTGAATTTGTGGATGTCTTGGAAGGGGTCTTTGCCCCAGCATCTGGGTAGTGAACTCTGGTTTCCATTTTCCAGAAGAGTATGCAGAAAATTAGACAAGTCAGTCCCTTCCCCAAGGTCGTGGAGGTAAATTTCTGAGCCATGTTTATACCTGGACTTTCTAACTTAGAAAAAAGTTCATATAAAATTGTGTTATTCTGATGAGTGTGGGCAGGAGATGGAACCTTGGAGAACATCAAAAACGGAGGTACAAGGCAGAGAAACAAATTCAGTAAATTCCAGTCCCTGTAGTATTATCCTCAGTAAAGATGACAGCTTTCCACTGTTGCTGATGCAGGAGGAGAGCAGAAATGCAAACAGTGCTGGTTGAATCCTTTCTTGCATATTCAGGAAGTTCTCAGCTGAACTTCTTCCAATGGCCTTCCCTTAGGTCCCCTGCATTTTGAAACAAGAAATTCAGTAGTGTCATTTCTCTTTCCTCTTTCATCAAGGTGCTCTTCCAGTACCATCAAATACTCATTTTATAGGTAATGAAGACTTGAGCATTAACAATCGCCTCTCAGCACCCGGTCAGGTCGTTTGTTGATGTTAGCATCTCTCTTTACAAAAGGTTGCAATTCTCATGGAAGCCTACCATGGAATACATTGACACTCATACTTTGGCCAGGCAGTGACAATACACAAAGCCGCTTTTGAAACTGGTGTGGAGAGCCAGACATCAGGCTCCTGCTATAGGTGATGCACAGAGCAGGCCCAGCCTTAGTCTCCAGGTCCCTGGCTCTTTGCATTCTCCTTTCTTTTGTCCCTTGCTAACCTCTCCATTCTTTTTCTCTTTCCTGTTCTCCTTCCTCTCTTCCCATTTCCTCTCCCATCCTGTATCTAGTGCACCTCCCTATGTTGCTTCTCCAGGCTAAGTCCTTTCCACCCAGCTTCTGATCCCCAATGCCCATCCCACTCCTGAGCTTGCTCTTCAGTGCTCTAAGGCACCACCATGTATTTTTCTTCTACTTGGGGCTCACGAGCAAGAGTTTACCTGTAGAATTAAAAATATGTATGAACATATATGATAGGGAGAGAGAAAAGTTTTGACTATATTAAAAGAAAAACTTCAGACAAATTAACTTTAACTGAATTGATTCAAGCAAATAGCACTCAGCACCAGAAGTGGTTCAGAGTTCCCTCAGCAACATGAGCAGTGAGCTTTTACAGGGAGAGCATAGAAGAAAGCAGAGAAGTCACCTAGATTCACTAAAGCTAGCCATCTACCTTACTTGGTCATGGTGTGATGAGTTGGATTTCTATGATTGGCTGCAACCTGGCTATTTGTTGCAAAATACATACTACTAAGATACCCTTTTGCTTGTTTATATGCTAAATTAGATCACTATATTTAAAGTTGGAACTCAAAGTACAGATACAGCCTCAAGCTAGAGACCTCCTGCTTATTTTTCACTAACAAATAAATATATACCCACATGTTGTCATTGGTCATCTCTGAGCTATGGGATTGGTGACATTTATTTTCACATTTATACAGTTTTCTCTTATATGGAATTAAAAATAGAAAAGTAATGTGCTCACTCACCATCTTTCTTGAAAAAACTGTAGAAAAACATCTAACTTTTTTCTAGAAATTCCTTTTGGTAATATTTCATGGTTCCTCAGTAAAGATTTGATATTTTGCATGATTTCAGCTTGACATGAATGCAGCAATTGTGGGATGCAATCACTATGATTGCCCCTGAGTAACTCCAGTTAGTTTTTCCTGCGTAGTTTTCAAGCATACTATAAATAGACAAACTATTAGAGTGATATGTGGTGCTTTATAACCAGGCCCTGGCCCCAGGAATGTGCTTTTTTGATATTAGCTTAATATAAACTAAGTACATTCTGCTATGGATGAATTCACTTTGACCTGACTAGTATATATTCCCCTATGCTTGAAACCTACTTGGTCTTGCTACTACCTAGGTACATGCTTCTGTCACTATGTTTTGCAATAAATTGTACTCTGTGCAATTCTGAATCTATTTGCCTCTTTCATTAGTTTACTTTGGGGCTAATTTGTTTTTTGGATGGAAATTTCAGTGTTCTTTTAATTTGCATTTTGCTAGTGGCCAGAGATATTAGCATTTTTTCATGGATTTATTAACTGTTCCTATTTCTTCTGAAAAGTGTCTATTCATTTCAGTTGCCCATTCATTTTCTGACTGGGTCTTTTATTTGGGGCCTCCAAATTTTTTAGATAATAGTTCTCTACCCAAGGAGTAGTTGGCAATTTTTTTCCCATTCTGTAGGTCGTCTTTTTATTCTGTTGGTTGTTTCCTTTGCTGTACAGAAGTTTTTTAATGTGATATAATTCCAATTGTTGTTTCTTGATGTTGTTTCTTGGGGTTATATGTCAAAAGTCCTTGCCTACCTCTATAACTTCAAGAGTTTTAGCTATTAAATCTCCCAGAAGATTGTTTCTCTTTTAACATTTAGATTTTTGATCCATTTTGATTTTAATTTAGTACATGGTGAGAGATATAGGTTCAGAGTCAATCTACCACCTGTGTATAGCCAGTTTTCCCAGTGATTTGTTAAGAAGGCTATCTTTCCTCCAGCATATGTTGTTGTCACCTTGGTCAAAGATCAGATGGCTAAGTGCGTCTAGGTTTGATTCTGTATTCTCTGTTCTGTTCCATTGATCCACATGTCTGTTTTTGTGTCAGTACTATGCTGTTTTAATTACTGTAACATTGTAATATAATTTGAAATCTTCTTACTTTGTTCTTGTTGCTCAGTATTGCTGTGCTATTCTGGGTCTTCTCTGGTTTCATATGAAATTTAGGATGGTTTTCTCTAGTTCCATGAGGAATGCTGTTGGTATTTTGTATGATATTGACAATATTGGTTTGACAATATTGGTTCTGTCTATCCTGGAACAGGGGATATTTTATCAATTTATGATGTCCTCTTCAGTCTCCTTTTTCAGACTACTATAGTTTCCATTATAAAAGTCTTTCACTTACTTTGTTATGTTACTATCTAAGTATTTAATTTTTCTTGAAGCTGTTGTGAAGAGTGTTGTTTTCCTAATTTCTTTCTTTGTGAGATTATTATTGGTGTACAGAAACACTATTGATTCTTTTATGTTGATTGCTACCTTGAAGAATTTGTTTATTAGTTCTAGAAGTCTTTCAGTGGAACTGAAATTTGGTTGTTTTTTTTTTCTATTAAGAATCATATCATCTGTGAATAAAGATAGTTTGGCATTTTCCTTTCCTGTACATTTCCTTTTATTTCTTTCTCTTGTCTGTTGGGTCTGGCCAACATAATGAGTACTATATTGAAAAGGGGTGGTGAGAGAGGAATCCTTGTCTTGATCCTGATTTTAGAGGGAATGCTATCAATTTTTCCTTATTTAATATGATGTTGGCAATAAGTTTGTTATAAATGGCTTTTATCAGATTGAGAAAAAGGTTTATACCTATTTTTGTCAGGGTCTTTATCATGAATAGATATCAAAGACTTTTTCTGCATCTATTGCAAGGATCATATGACTTTTGTCTTTGTTTCTATCTCTGTGTTGTATAACACTTATTGATTGGACTATGTTGAACCATCCTTGGATCCATGGGATGAAGCCAAATTGGTCATATGTTTATAAATTTTTTGATAATTTTTTACATTCTGTTTGCCAGTATCTTGAGGGTTTTTGCATGTATGTTTATTAAAGATATTGGGAGGCAGTTTTCTTTTTTAATTGAGTCCTTGTCTGGTTTGGGAATCAGTGGAATGCTAGCTTCCAGGGATGAGTATGGCAGTAGTCCTTCCCTTTCAATTTCATTGAATAGTTTGAGGAGAATTTGCTTTAGATCTTTTCTGAAGATATGACAGAATTTAGAATTCACTGGGACATGGACTTTTCTTAGTTGGCATTTTTTTCATTACTGTCTCAATTTCATCATTTTTGGTAATTCAAAAGTATCTTGGAATCTATCCATTTTTTTCTAGATTCTCCAGTTTATTCAATTAAAGTTTTTTGAAGTAGTTTCTAATACTGTTCTGGATTTTAGCAGTGTCCATTCTCATTTTGACTTTTGCATTTATAATTGAGCTGATTTTGGGATATTGGTCTTTTCTGTCCCCTTTTTAAACAAAATGGGTGTATATTTTATTTATTCTTTCAAAAACTAGCACTTTGAATCATTGATTGTTAGTATTGCTTTTTTAGTCCAAATTTCATTAATTTCTGTTCTGATCTTTCTAATTTCCTTCCTTACAGTAGCTTTGAATTGAGATTTTTCTAGAAACTTGAGGTATATCATTAGGTTATTTATTTGGGATTGTTTTTCTTTTTTTCTGATGCAGCCATTCAGAACTATAAATTTGCCTCTTAGGATTGCTTTAGATGTATTCATAGGATCTGGTATATTGTACTGACCTTATAGTTTGATTCCAGAAACTGTCTGATTTCTTCCTTGATTTCTTTTATGAACAAAATATCAATCAAAAGTGTATTGTTTTACCTCCATGTGTTTTCATAGTTCCTGTGATTTCTTTTGCCAATGAATTCTAGTTTCATTACAGTATGATCTAATAGTATGCATGGGATAATTTTGATTCATTCATGTTTATTCAATCATGCTTTATGGGCCAATATGCAGTCATTTTGTGGAAAGTTCCATGTGCTGCTGAGAGGAGTGTGTATACTGTCATTGATGGGTGAAATACTCTGTAGATGTCTAAGTCCCTTTGTTCAAAACTATGGTTCAACTTTGATATTTCTTTGATTTTTTTGTCTAGTTGATTCGTATTTGTGAGAGTGGAATTCTTATGTGCCTCACTATAACTGTTGATATTTGTTTGATCTTTTATGTGCAATTTTGTTTATTTCATGCAGTTATGTGTCCCAGTGTTTGATACATAAATATTTATAATTGTTATCTCTTCCTGTTGAATTGTTCCCTTAACCAATATGCAGTGAACTTCTTTTCCTCTTCCAATCAACTTTGGCTTGAAGTACACTTTGTTTGAAGAAGATACCTACTCCTGCTTGTTTGGGGGCTTCTATTGCATGCAATATTGATTTCTATCCTTTGATTTTTAGTCTATCAAGTTATTTTTTGATTAAACATGTTTCTTTAATACAGCATACCATTGAGATTTTGTTTGTTTGTTTGTTTTTAATGTGACCTGCTAGTCTGTGTCATTTGATTGGGAAATTGAGTCCATTCAAATTGAGACTTATTACTGAAAAGTATTGACTTATTCCTGTTATTGCATTATTTTCCTATTGTTGATTTCTTTTTTTCCCTTCTTCTTAACTGCTTACCCTTCTTGATGCATTAATTCCACCAAACTTTTTGTCATCTTTGTCTTCATGATCTCTTTCTAAGATATCAGTGAAAATTTTCTGGAGTGCTTATTTGTTGGTTGTAAATTTCTTAAAGGCCATGGAAAGACCTTTCTTCTCCATCAATTTTGAAATAATTACCCTGACATTTCTGGCCTGAGTTTAAACTTCTCAGAGGTTCTATGTCAAACCTACACTCTCTCTATGACAGTCTCTTATAACCATCTCCCATCCAGTCACTGTGGATTGATCAACATGGATATTCAAACAGGATAAATTAGCTATTTAACATTACTTTAAGAATGTAACTGTATCCCTTAGTTTATTGGATTTAATGGCTCAGTTTTTAATGTTTTTCCTTCATTTTGCTCTGATGTATTTGGTTTTTCCTAATCATTTTAAAATCAATATACTACTTTGCTTTCCTTGATAAAAATAAATGATTTATGAAAATATGATTTTTATAAATCACATTTTCATTTTTTGCTTTGATTAAAAGACTATTCTATGAAACTAGAATATGAATATATGGTGTTGTATAGGTAATTTCAGAAAAATAGATATTTTTATTAAAACACAATCATTACTATCTCTTTAGTTCATATAAGCTATTTTTAATTTATTTTATACCAGCATCCTTTTTCAAATCATTTTCTTGAAGCCTATGCTGAACATAGCTTTATCCCCAGTTTCCCTCTTGCCCTAACAGATCTTTACATTTATTCTTAAATTTGGCTGTATCATTTCATGTTACAAGCTTAAAACTAATTGGCATTCTTCCATAGCAAGTAGAATAAAATCACAAGCCCTTGTTATGGCTGAAAAGGTCCTTTGCAATCAGATCATCTCTCTCATTGTCTCTCCAGTCCAACCTAGCTACTTATCTCCTCGTTCACTGTATTCATCTCACACTCACTTCCTTGGTTTCTTCAAACCTCAGTCCAGCCACAAGATTTTAACACATGCTGTTTGCATTGCCTCAATGGTTTCATTCTTTTCTTCATATGATTTACTTAAGTATTAGCCTTTCAGTGAAGCATTTCCACATAATCTCACCCTAAGCAGTTTCTCATGCCCTTTGTAATCTTCATAATACATCCTTATAATAACTTGTAGGAATTTTATTTCTTTATTTATGTCTGTTTCTCCCTGTAGAAAGTTAAGATCATATTTTCCTTATTCAAAAAAAGTTACCTCCACATTTAAAAGAATGTTTGGCACATACTACCACTCAGAGAAGAATTCTTGAACAAATAGGCTGCAAGTCAGCACATCTTGGCTTTGCATTGTGCAGTTTCATTACATATGTCCCCCTTCTCCAGAGATTTTTAAATGATAGTCTTCATTCAAGTGGCTTATTTTTATAAAAAATCACCTACATCATCATTCAAAATTCAGATTTCTTAGAATTTTAAGAAAGTAGGCTCAAGGATCCCCCCTTAAGGTATAATTGAATTTTTAACAAGTTCTTCAAGTTAGGCTTAGATGCAGCCAATTTGGTGACTAAAACATCTTACAACTACTTACCGCAGAACTTTGTACTACACTTGATCTTAGCCAAAAGGCCAAGAAGCGTTGCACATTGTAAAATAAAAAACTCAATAAGTGATCAATCCCTAACACCATTTCTGGAAGAATGTTTGGAACTTTATTACACTGATATCTCATTATGCCTACAAAATATTTTTGCCCTGAATGTAGAAAATGGAAAAAGTTACATGAAGGAATATTTTTGTGTTTCTGCTTTGTTAATGATTTCTCAAATCACTGTAAAATGAGTTTTATCTCTTTTAATTCAGGACATTCAGGACATAATGCTAGTATTAAAGAGAAAAAACTCCTCCTCCTGAGCAGGAAATAACATTATATGAAGCAAAGAGAATAATTCTGGAGAATTATAGCAGAGCTAATTTTTTATCCACACAATCATAAACAAAACAAAACAAAAAGTTGTGCAATCTATCATCCAAAAACAGCATTGGAAAGAACTTACAAGTTTTCTTTGCTTTCCTGATACAATTATTTGCTTTAGGTTAGTATGCAAGTAAGTTCATATCTAAGTACACAATAATGTATGTTGGGTTCTACTAGTGTCTGTTTCTACCCACAGGACCCTTCTTACTTCAAATGTGCGGGGTATTTTCCTCACACCAATGACCATTTCCCTAATTCTCTGAATAATCCCAGGGTGTCCTAAATCTAATTAAATTCTGACACTACCCACCTGGAAATCTTGCTCCACCATAGGACAATCCTGTCCCACTTCTGATGTCAGTCACAAATCCAAGATCACTGGAACATTTGACTGACAAGCTACATGAAGTTCCCTCATACCTCTTTTCAATTTTGATAGTTGCCACAGAAGTCAATAAATCACTTAACATTTATTGATTTATTGTAAAGTATGTGAAAAGGATTCAGATGAAGAGGTACATAGAGTGACATTCAGAAGGATCCCCAGGCAAGAGCTTCTCTCCTGTAAGGTGCAACACTCTCTTGCACATATGAATGCACTGTATTATCAACCCAGAAGCTCTCTGAACCTCATCATTTAGGACATTTCATGTAGGTTTCAACATGTGGAAATGATGAGTGGTTACTTACTCAATCAATCTCCAGGCACCCTTCTTCCTCCATCTCACCATCCCAAATCTGGGGAAAGTGGTGCTGAAAGCTCCAATTTTCTAGTTGATTTTGTCTTTGTTGCAACTGTCTCCCATCCTGGAAGTATTCAGAAGCACAAAAAGTCACCCCATTAGAACAAAGACATCACTTAGGAAATTCCAAGGGTCTAGAAGTTATCAGGAACTAGGAAGAGAAATCAGAAATATATTTCTTTTTATACAATAGGTTCCTAGAAGACTGCACTGAATATCAAATGGAAGTATTCTGGTTTAGGAATTAAATATTAGAATTTGATCAACACTTAAGACTAATTAGTTCAATTTCTTCATTTTACAGATGAGGAAACTGAAGCTGAGAATCATGGAGTGACATGCCAAGGATGCCACAGGGGGTCCACCATGTGCTTGAATAAGTAAAGGACTTACTTCAATACCAGAGCTATGTACAATCAATACACAGTAACACTGACTATGGCTTAAAATGATACTACACATTTTTAATTTGTCTTGTGCTACAAGTTGGCATTTCAATTTAACCAGTCTTTCTGGTCTCTCAAGCCTTAATACTGTTTGAACATTTTTAATGCTGTGTAAATCATTTGGTTCTATAGTAAATTCAGTATTTGAAAGCAAATATTCTCCTATTACTCATTTAATTGGAAAGGCTCAGAACATGTTCTAAAGGAAATTGGATTTCATCTTCAGTTAAAAATCTCATAGAAAGCTGCTTGCTTTTTAAACACATGAGTAACTGAACCTCCATAAAACTGAGGCAATTGCAGCAACTCATTCTTTTCCTTGACTTCCCCATTTCACTCCTTTTAGCCCAAACTTAAAATGACATTAGATGTAAACACCTAAGAATATCTGTTTAAATTAAAGCAATAAAATACTTTAAAAACTGATCCACGTAATAGTCATGAGAATGTCATACAACGTCATGGTTATTATCATTATGACTTACTAAGGAACCAAGTGCTTGTGAGATGCTGGGGGCACTCACCATGCCCCTTACATGATCAACAGCATGCTGTGAGCTCATAGGTGGCATTGTGAGTTCTGAAACGTGGTTTCATTTTCTAGCCTATGTTTGAGAATATGAATATATAATTACCACACAAATAATCTCAACCTATTTTAGGAATGGTGAGGCAGACTACAACCCAGGGATAGCTGCAATAAAAGATAGATTGTTGAAAAGCGGGATATATAACAGAAACAAAGATGACTAAGTTTTGTGTCTTCATCTTAAGATTTATAATATTCTGTGATTTTTTTTCTTCACTCTTTTCACAAATCAATAGATGCTGCTCTAAGAGTATGATAGTTAATTGTTGTGTCAACTTGAATAAGAAATGCCTAGTGAATTAGTTCAGCACAGTTCTGGATGTGTCTGGATGACTGACATATGAAGAGGGAGGACCCGTCATGGATATGAATGGCACCAACAAATAGGCTTATAGTCTTGGTAGAAAAAAAAAAAAGAAAGAAGAAGGAAGCCTTGCTCTTCCTCTTTGGAGGAGCTCCAGTCTTTGCTGGCACCTTTGAACATCTGTCTCCAGGCTTCCAGTGTAGGCTCCTCAGCTTTCCAATCCAGGTCCTTCATCTTTCTCGCATGGACTCATATCAGACTCTTCAGTGAGCTTCAGGCCTTCAAGTTTTGACTAGAACCTCTGGCTTTCCGGTGTACATAGCCATTTTTCATTCCTCCACCTGACTCTGCAGGTGGCCACTGTAAATCTACCTTGTAAATCCCTTATATATAAAATACATATTCTATGTAAAATCTGTCCCTCTAGTGAAATCTAACTGATAAAAAGCTTCTAGTGAATTGGGAGAAGACACTTCTCAGCAGCGAGTGCACTGAGGTCAGGCCCATCTGGGTTTAAATTGCAGCATCAGTAAGTCTTAGTTTTAACCTTAAGTAAGTAATTTATGTTAGTCTCAGTTTCTTTATCTGTAAAACAATATTTTGCATCTCAAAAATTTGTTATAATTAAGTAAAATAACATACGGAAAACACTAAGTCCCAAGCTTGGCATGGAATACATCTCAATAAAGTTTCAGTACTTAAAACTTCCTTACAGAGGCAACTCATTTTGCTATGAAAGCTAATGTCAAAGGGCAGGTAAGTTTGTGATTGAATTAGTCATTTTCTTCTATCAATCAAAGCCTTGAGTTATCAAAATTTATCATTCCAATAGGTGAAATCCATTAAGGAATGGTTGCAGTTTGTCAAATAATAAGCAAATTTTCCTGTGGCTTCAAGGAAGTTCTTTTACCAATAGTTAAGTTTTGTCCTTTCATAGAAAACAGACTTACTGAGCAATTTAGTGTTAGAATATAATTTAACCGTAGTGAAAAGGGCAGAATATTCAAGGAGTTTTCTAGGTCACTGAGTCGTAAAAATTGTGCATAATTTTCTGAAGACAGTACTCTACAACTGACTCACATTGGTGTACTTTTCCAGAAATATTGACAAATTTGATATTTCTCTAGAGATTTTGGCTGGAGGAAAATAAGAAAATGTCATCATTTCCAATATAAAAAGTAGCTTTTCTTTATTAATGCAGACACAATCAATATGAATATGGGAAATTTTATCGGGAAACTTAGTGGTTCATTGCCAATGATATTCTATCAGAGTAGTCTTAGTTTTGAATGTATTAAAAAAAGGGAAAATCATTGCTGAGAAAAGAATGTGGACAATATTTGGTTCAGAAAATAAAACTTAGGGCATATGTGGTGTATGGATGGAGTGGGTTAGGAATGTATGTAAACAATCCTAAAGAATGAGTTCCAGATGTCCTTTCTTGGTCATCTACCTGTCCAGTTCTCAAACAATCTTCAATTCTCAGTTCAAGTGTCATCTTTTGGAAGCTTTTCCAGAATACTCACCTCACTTACAGATTTGCTCACATAATTTGTTTTTAGTGTTATTTTCACATTTAACTGTACTTTATAGTAGTGATGTGTTTACCTGTAATTTTCTCTACCTCGACTGTAAGGCAATGAAGAGCAGGAAGCAAGGAACCAAGAACTTGAAATATTTTATGTTCAATAGAGGTGGAAGTAATAGAACCAAGGGCAAAGTGTCTTAGCTAAATATCTTATTGCTGAGGCAAAATATCCAACACCCAAAGTTAAAGGAGGAAAGGTACATTTGGTTCAGAGTGTGTGGAGGTTTCAGTCCATAGTCACCTGGCTCTAAGATAGGGTGGCATGACAGAAAGGCATCACAGAGGACAAACAGTCCTACAAAGCAGGGCAGGCAGAAGGCAACAAGCAGGAAGTAAGTGGCATACAGCAACCCTCTTTCTATCCCTTATATTCCTTATATTTTATCCTTATATTTATCTACCCTGAGGGCCTTAGGGCAGGTAGCACTCACACACACTGTGGGGCATTCTTAATCCTACCCAGAACTATGCCAAGCCAATCAATGAAATAATTTAGTAATCACACACCCTTGATCCCAGCACCACACACTCCAGGTCCAACCACCTCCAAATAGTGCCACCTATGACCACATGAGGCTTTGGGAGTATACCTAGACACAAACTATAACAGTAGGATGTGGAGAAGGATGGAGAAAAAAAGAAAAGGGAAGACCCCAAGTAAATGGTGACTGCTTTCTATGAGATATCAAGGCCCTCAATGGTTAATATTATTTAAGATTTCCAAGTGAGCAAGACAAAGATGTGGAAAGGGAAATGTCAGACTTTCAGTCTTGTCTGCTGATGTTAGTGAAGGAATTTTATCCCCTCAATATTGTGGCAATAAGATCATCTCTCTGGATAAATGTAGTTCCAGGAGGGAAACTATATGAATATGATCTTTCAAAATAAACAGATGGAGACACCAGCAGCTTGGGTATACATTCCCCAGCCAAAGACCTGCATGCAAAATAGTGGTATGGGTATGCAGGCCCCAGCCAGGGCCCTGACCAGACATCAGCCCAGCAGCTTGGGTGTGCATGCCCCAGCCAAAGTTCTTCCTGCACAACAGTTGTGTGTGTTCACAGGCCCAAGCCAGGGCCCTCCCAGACACTGGTGGTTTGGGCAGTCCCAGCCAAAGGCCTATCTGGAAAACACTTGTGCAGGCATGAAGGCCCCATCCAGAGGCCCACCTAGACACTGTCACTAAGCATGCACAGGACCCGGTCAGAACCCCAGCCAAAAAACAGTGCAGTGCGGGAATCTAAAAGGCCATCATTATGAACCCAGGAATTGGCTCATGGTGAACAGCAGAAAGAAGGCCACTCTTAGGCATGCTGATAATTGAAGGCCACTGGGAAGGCAAAGAGTCACCTCAACAAAGGTGCAGCAGACTGCAACAGTTAAAATGAGAAGACACATAAACAAGACTCAAAACCAGACTTTCAGATTGCCAAACTCAACCCCAAGGGGCAAGGAGATGGAACAATCCAATATTCAACCACCTGTACTCCCTGAACTAGCAAAGAAAGAGGATCTGGAGAAAATAAAATCAGAAATAATTTCTCAGATAACAATAGAAATTGTGTCCATAGTGAAAGACAAGACTCTAGAGCACACACAGATTAAAAAAAAAAAAATAGAGGAACATGATGGAATCCCACCATAGGAAACAAATGGAATCCATAAAGCAGATGTGAATAGATTTCCAGGAGATTAAAAACTCCACTGATAACTTTACACAGTAGAATGAGCCAATGTGAGGACAGAATATCAGATATAGAAGATAGGATTGCAATTAGTAACCAGGAAAAGAAAGATTTCTTAAAAATAGTAAGGGACCATGAGAAACCAATCCAGCAGCTGCTAGATGATGGAAAGAAGAATAGCATAATACTGATCAGAGTCAATGAATAAATAGGAGATAGTGCAAACAAAATAAAAAAGCCATTCACAGAAGTAATGGCAGAAAACTTCCCAAGCAGGGGAAAAGAATTTGACATACAGATAAGTAAGGCATATAGGACTCCAACTAGCTGTGATTAAAAAAAAAAAATCTACAAGTAGGCATATAATAGTCAGGATTCCAGAAACCCAACAGAAGAACAAAATTCTACAAGTATTTATATAAAAGAAACAAATCACATACAAAGGGAAGCCC